TTTATTATCAAAAATAAAGAATATTTTTGAGAACGTCTGTTTTTTTGGGTTGGTAAAGGAATCAGCGGAAAGAGTTTCTTTAACATATCAATAAATTTATAAATTTATCATATTTGAATATAATTTAGAATAACTTGTTATATATTCAAAATATGATAATATATTAATAGCTTTTGTTAATAATTCAGCTTTTAATAAAAAACTTTCAATCGAATTTTTTACATTTGTAATTTTATTATTTTTTAATCTAGCCAAATAATAAAATAATAAAATAATTCTAATTTTAAGTTTTTCAAGTGTCTTATTATTAGAATTTTCTGATTTTAATATATTATAAAACATTAAACAAAATAGTTTTAAATTATTTTGTTTCAACATATTAATAAATTTATTTGGATCTGTATGTGGTGGATTTTTTTCAATATATTGTTGATTATATAATAAATTTATTAAATTTGTAATATTATCATTAAAAAATTTAAAAAAGAATTCTATATTTGAATTTTGTTGGACATATTTTAAATTCTTTTTTAATTTATTTTTTAAATCTAAAATTTCTTTATTATAAGTATTTTGTAATATTAAAATTTTATTATGATAAGTATTTTCTAATATTAAAATTTTTGCATTATGATTATTTTTTAAATTCGAAATTTCAAAATAATAATCATTTTGTAATTTTGAAATTTCTGTATTATAATAATCTTTTAAATTTGTAATTTCAGTATTATAATTATCTTGTGAAATTAGAATTTTTATATTTTTGATTTTTTTTATATTTTCAACTTTATTTTCTAATTGTGCAATATTTTGTGTATATTGAATTTGAATATTTTTTAAATTCTTAATTTCATTTTCTAATTCTTGTATATATTGAATTAGATTATGATATGCTTATGGATCAATAGAAATATGAGATTAGAAATTCATTTTATTAAAAATTAAATTGTTTTTTAAAAAAAAATATGTATTTTTTGTTATTGATAATATATAATTAAATGAATTAGCTTTGCTAACTTTAAAAAAAAGGGAATAAATTAAAAATAATAAAAAATCATTTATTTAAATACTTTTTTTTATATATAATTTATTATAAATTTTATTTTATATTCTAATTTATCTAATTTCGATATATAATATAAACTCTGAATTATTTAATTTCATTATATAAATTCTGAATTATTTAATTTTGTTATATAAACTCTAATTTCATTATATAAACTTTGAATTATTTAATTTCATTATATAAATTCCAAATTATTTAATTTTGTTATATAAACTCTGAATTTTAATTTTTATAAAACTGTGGATCACAATTTATAATATATATAGTCAGAAATTTCACTTCATATGCGCCATGTGCATATCTGTACCAATGCAATAGGAACATTGTATGAATAGTACAAGGGTGATGCAAGGGGATGCATTTCATATGACCGAAAACAGAAAAAAAAACTACTGATTTATCGATTATAATTATTTTTAAAAAAAAATTTTTTATTAAATTTTATTATTTAAAAAAATTTTTTTTAAAGTTTAATTTTTAAAAAAATTATTATTATTATTATTATTATTTTAATTATGAGAATTTATTTATTTTTGAGGACAATATTGTAATTTATACAATTTATTATTATTAAATATCAAATGCTATATTTGTTATATAAAATTTTATTATTAAATATCAAATATTGTATTTGTTATATAAAATTTTTTATTTATTATAAAATATAAGAGATTATTATTTGATTGATTTGTAAAAAATAAAACATATAAAATTCCAACTTGTGGTTTTAAAATATTGGCTTTAGGTATTGTTATAAATGAAAATAGGTATTGCTTTTTATAATAATTTATGAGCTATATAAATAATAGATTTTTTCTAATAAATGAAAATTTGAGCTATAGTAACTATATATTTATATTAATAGAGTAGAATTATAATATGTCAATAATTAATTATGTCACTTTTTATCAATACCATAGTAGCTTGTAGTATCATGATTTATATAATGTATCTCTTGTATATAATAAAAAGTCATCAAAAATATTCTAGTCATATGTTTTAATCTATGATATTTTCATTAAACTGTGATATAATTACATGTCATGGCAATAACCTAATTTATTTCTAAGAAAATTTTTTGTCAATACATAGACCAAATCAGTACAGGACCTATTATATAAAATTTTCTTTATCTTATGTATAGCTTTCTAAATCTTATATTCTAAAAAGTAAATATTAATTAAGAAATGAAAACCATTGGTAAGTCTGAAGGCCATTTACCTTGGGCGGATTGACAATTGTAACAGCTATTGTTAATAATAATAATACGAGACATATTGATGATTCGTGCGTTTTTCTCAAGTAAATAAAAAATGAATGGATTTTTACTTTTCAAAATTTTCATAGTTCGTCTCGGTACAGCTGCACGCCAATACTTTGGGATTATTGAAATCAATTTTCCCTTCACTACAATTCTTCCACGCGTTTATTACGTCCTGACAAATGTCGCAA